ACATTGTTGCAAATGGTACGATTTCATTCTTCTTTATAGCGGAGTAATACTCCATTGTATAAATGTACCACAGTTTCTTAATCCAGTCATCTACTGATGGGCATTTCAGTTGTTTCCAAGTCTTGGCTATTGTAAATAGTGCTGCAATAAACATAGAGGTGCATGTATTTTTTCAAATTAACGTCTTGGGTTTATCTGGATACCAAGTGCCTTTCTTCAATAATATTTTTACAAGACAGAGCTCTTAAGTTGTCTCTATGTGTGATCCTTTTTAACATTTCATCACATGTAGATGCTGCAAAATCACAGGCCTTCACAGTTTCATCCCATTCTGGTAGAGGATATAAATTTATCCAATTAAAATTAGAAGCTCTGTCAAAGTCAAGATTTTTCCAAAGCTCAATTTTCAGACTAGGTAATTAAACCATTTGAGCTCTCATCTTTTGGTCTGTTCAATTCCTCCCTGGCTTTGTAGGCAGAAATTTGAGCTTTTGCCTTTTTGCAAGCTTTGTTTTACGTAATTGCAACTTGCTAAAAGCTTCAAAAGCTGAATTTTCATGCCACATTCATTGAATAATTTGATTAAATGTTTCCAACTGATTTTGCACATAATGTGAACTAAACTCAGGCTGCTTTACAAAGATGTTTCTCAAAGCCTCAGGCATTTCTAAAATCCAACTGATGACAGGCACTACAGAGAGAAAATACATACAGCCATTTTGAAATGTTTTGGGATTCAACATCACCTTGTGCCATAAAAAAATTTTATAGATAAAAAAAATATATATATGTGTGTGTGTGTATACTCAAAAAATATATATGCATATATACTTTGATTTGTATATATATATATAATATTTGTAATTTTTAACAATTGCAGATTCTATTTTGATTGGTGGAATGTTGCAGCTTGTTTGAATGAAGTCATGAATTTTGTGCACATCATAACCAATTCCAAATACATTTCTGCTCCACAGAGTTTTCAGCATGTAAGAACATTGTTTTTACCACAATGCTGTGCTCCACCAAAAGCTGTATTCCTATTATCACTCCTCCCCAAAATCAACAACGTTTCATCTTCATTGTTGAACTTTTCAATTAAATTTACAATGGCATTAATAATGTCAGATGTTTTGTTTTTGACAGAAGAATGAACTTCTAAATAGGTTTGTTTGTTTTTTATCCTTTGAATTAGATGAAAAAAATGAAACCATTTTGGAATTAACAAATTCTCTAACTGAGGTCTCTGTGGACACTGATATAAATCTGACCTCATTTGATGGTTTGCAAAGGGAATCAACTCATTGATCATCACCAGCTCACTTTACTGCCAAGCACAAGAAAAGCTAGAATTGAAAATGAGCAAATTAGAAGAGTCATTTGACCCGAATGGAAAGGTGTGCCTCACAAGGACCTGTAAACACACCTCCCACAGACACATATTCACTCATCATCTCCACACACATTCTTCTTAAATTAAGTATTAACTTTTGAAGCAGATGGTGATGCTTCTTTACCATGTCTGTGTCTTCTGGTTTTTGAAGGCATGGTGATATCGCTAGTTGCCTCCATGGTAAACAGTAAATGTTGACAAATATTTTGTGCAAATTACACATTGGTCATCAACTTCCATGAGACAATTAAATGTGTAGTTTTGGTTTTGGTTTTGGTTTTGAGTCAAATGCTGCTAAAAGCATGTATTGCAAAATGTAAAAAGCATCGCCAAATGATAAAACAAATAGTTATAATTTCACAATACAATTAATGACAAAACTGTTTCAACATAAACATTTAGATTATCCCCCACTCTGTGTCAAGCCTGCTTAGCCTCTGTCTTCGAAACAGAATTTGTGTGACATTAAGCCGCAATTTCCCATTTTTCTTTCTGACCTTGAGGAGGATCTGGGCATCTCATACACCACCACAGGGAACGTAGCAGGGCTTCAGTGGTGGTATATCCCCAAGTGGCCAGCAGGGGAAAAAATTTTCCTGCCATAATCACCTAAGACCAGAGGAATTAGGTAGCCCTGACTGCTGTGCTTGAGCTCTTAGCTTTAACAGTCAGCACCTTGCATATTATTCTTAAAAGGGTGCTACCACTTAGGTTTTTGTCTGAACAAGATCAGGAAAAGAGAGATGGGTTATCATTAGACATCTTTTGGATTTAATCATAATAAAATAAGAACTCTGTTCACTGTATGTGTGTTTTATATGCTGCTAGATGAGACCATGAAAGAAGCCAGAAGAACCTCATGGAGGTCTAGTAACCCATGCTGGTTTACTTTAATATAATTGCTAATCAGAAAACTTTATTACAAAATGGAAAATCTGGGGTAAAAGACAATAAATGGATGTCATTAATAAATAAACCAGCACACACCAAGGGCTCTTGGTTCCAAATGAACCAAAACAAATGGATACCCTACTAAGGTCAGTGCCAACACTGTGACTTTTACTCCAAATGAGAAAGGAATTCATTGTGGAGTTCTGAGCAGAAAAATGACAAGATCGAATTTTACAGGATCACACTGGCTGCTATTTTGAGAATAAATTAAAGGGGAGCAGGGGTAGCAGACCAGTTAGGGGCTTATGGCTATAATCCAGCAGGGAGAACAAGGACAATGGCTTGCTACAATAGTAGAGGGATAAACGCGCCGCCTTAAAACTCTATCTGTGTAGTTGCAGGGAAGAACATTAAAGGGGAAACCTGCCCCTGGACTCAAATTTCAGGTCTGTGTCACTGGTGGTTTCATGTACTTGTGTACAGGGAGGACTCAGAATATCATAGTTAAAAAACACCAGATATGAAGAGCATCTACTTAATTCCTCTTACACTAATTTCATTCTTAGCAAGCAACCTTCTAATTATAAAGTAGACTTATCCTCAGGAATGGAATACATATATCAGCAAATAACTAGCATCTGTTCTATTTGGTGGTTGTAACTCGAACCAGAGATTAATAAGTTGGATTTCTGGTGTTTTTATACATCCTCTTTTATGAGTTTAGTTTGTTTGTGTTAGTTTCCTAGAGCTTCATTATCTCTGGGTATACTAATAACTGAATTTCTTAATATATTCGGCAGCAAATAAGACTTGAAAAGTGGTGGCCCTAATACATGACCCCAAAAAGACTTGTCTAAGCTGGCACCGGGCTTTGCCCAGGTGATCTCTGGCCTTACTGACAGTAATATCAGAATATCCCAAGTGAATTAGGGAATACTCTATTACTATGCCCTCATTAGAAAAAAAAATTGGTTCTCAAAGGCTTAGTCTTCTAGGATAGGGGTCGGCAAACTTTTGAGACGGAAGAGCCACCAGGGGTCAGCAAACTGAGGCTCGCGAGCCACATGCGGCTGTTTGGGTACGTACACGTGGCTCTGAAATAAAATTGAAAATGAAAATAAAACTATCATAGTTTCATTTATAATATTACTTTAAATTTTCCTTATTTGTAAAAATATATTTATGGGTCTCGAATAATTTTTAAATTGTTGGGATGGACAGGATTGGCTCTTCCAGGGGTCGGCAAACTTTTGATACGGAACGTACCCAAAGAGCCGCATGTGGCTCACGAGCCGCAGTTTGCTGACCCCTGTTCTAGGATGGTTTTCTCAATTCTCTTCCTCTTTCCAAAACAATCACCTTTACGTAACCACCGGGGGATTTTTGTTGTTCTCTTTCTTGGACGTGATTGTCCTTTTACATCATTTGATGTGAGATACAATTCATTGTTATAAATGCATGCAAACATCTACATTAAAAGCACTCCAATAGATCAAACGTTACCGGCAAAGGGCTTGTGTCATCCTGAACGGAATGGGTCTCTGAAGTTTCGGCACGATTACTGTCCTTTCTGGAATGCTGACCCACGGGAAGAGGGGCTGGGCTGGAGTATTCACTCACGTCCTCCAGAGTGGAGCGTTCCAGTTCCTCCAATAAAGCATCTATAGCATAAGACACAAGAGAATCATGATATAGAATATGTATGTTTTCTGGAATAATTTTCCCCTTAAATAGCCCCACTGTGCCTCTATTCATCTCCCTCTTCTCTTGCAGTAAGGCTATTTTCAAATATCTTTCCTTACTCCTTATTGTACTTAAAGAATGTGGTCTATTCTACCAGGAAATGTCTTAAGCCTCCAAATACTGTGACCGGTTCCTTATTTCCTAAGGTTGCATTCTGTTTCATAGTCTCACTTTACAACTTGACCTCTTTTACTGCAAGGTATTAATTTTTATCATTCATTTGGGAGTGGGTTGGCCATAAAAATCCCCAATTAGAAAAAAGCAAATCCTACGTATTTTTCCTTTCAGAAAAATATAGGCAATTGTATTACAGTTTTTCAAAATATACCAGGACAGTTACATTTATTCTTAATCCTGATGATTTTTTCCCCTTATATTCCAAGCACATAACAAAATTATCAAAGCAAAGAGTATTCTGTCTTTTAGGGTGTGGGGAGGAGAGGATATGGGGGCGGGGGGGAGAACAGATGTTACAAAATTAAGCAAGATGTTGCAAGCCAAATTGTTGAGATTACTTCTCTTGCATTTTCTTGGAAAAAAAAACAATGGACTTTACAAGTATTACGTTATTATCTTTCTGTTATGGTAAAATTAATAATAACTAATAAAAATTAACACATGTCAGGCACTATGGTCAGGAGTTTATATATTAAATTTAGTCATCTTAAGTCTTTGAGGCAGGTGATATTATTGTCCTTATTTTGTAGATCAAGAAAAAGCCAAATAAATTGAGGTCACACTGCTGCTGAGTGCAGGACGTGGCTGTCTGATCCTGGGCTATCTGTGCCCCAGACCCTCCATTAATTTCACGTGAGAAATTCCAGGCCCCATTCTCACATGGATTCTCTGGGTCCTCTGAGCATGACATGTTCTTCTCTGAAGCTGTTTCCTCATCAACATAATGAAACCATTATATTACAGTAGTATTTTTCAAATTGTAGATTGAGACCCATTAGTGACTCTCTAGTAGATTTCTTACCACAGATTGTAGTTTTTAAAAGTTTGCAAAGCACTGGATCATATTATGTCTAAAGATCTGCCTAGCTCTGAAGTCCTCAGATGAGGAAAATGAAATTTACATGTCATGAAAAACACAGATTTTCATTTATTTCAGATGTCGGAGAGATGGGTGTTTCTTGATGGCATAAGAAAAGGTTTAATTATTTCTTACAAATGAAATCTTCTACAGATCTTTCTAAATCATCCATCTCACAAAAAGATTGAATTTTATGCACCACTTTGGAGATAAGCAAACTGAATTAAATTATTCAGGACAAATTATCCTTCAGCATATAAGTTTTAATGGAAAAAAGAGATGGCGGCAGAACCAATAGATTAAAGGAGATGTTAGAGACTTATAACAAATTTCAGTATATGAACCTTAAATAAACAAGCAAACCAAAAAAGAAACAATCAGGAAATATTACATACTGACTGGATATTCAATAATAGTAAGTAAATACTATTAATTCATTATACATGTGATAAGGATATTTGATAACATTAATTTCTGTTAATATCTTAGGTGTGATAATGATATTTCATGATATTAAGGAATTACTATTAAGGATTTTGTGGGTGTGATGTTGGTATTATAATTATTTGTGTAAGTATATATATTTATTTTAGAGATTATGCTGAAATATTTACAGATGAAATTATATAATGTCTGAAATTGCTTTAAAATAATATAGGAATTAAAGGAATGGGTAGGTGTATAAATGAAATAAGATTGGCCAGGACTCACTTGTTTAAGCTGGTTGATGAGTGCATCAGATTTCATTAAATTATTTTCTTTACTTTTGTATATTTTTAAATTTCCTATAATAAAAGGCTTTTAAAGGAAAAAAAGAAGGTAGAAATAAAACTTTCCTCATAACTTTTTTAGCCAGACTGAATGCCAAAATTCTCACTTCCAAATTTTTAGTCTATGTCTTTCTGTTAAGATATAGCCCCTCTCTTTTCTATTTTCTAAACTTTGCTCCAACCCAAAGTCATTGATCCTCTTGGATTCAAAATAAAAAGGAATTTATAATAAAGATTAGGATAGAGGGAAGACCCCCTACAAGAGGAACAAACCATACTACTTAGAGTAGAAGGTTATCCCTGGAAGCACACATTGGTCAAGGTTACTAGGACTCTCCCATCTGGGTCATGAGTTAACAGGCCTTCTCTTCCTGTTTCCTGAGTGCACGTATCACCAACACCCCAAGACTATCTTGCCTTTTGCCAGACTCTGTAATTTGAAGATGACTAATTTCAGTATGACAAATAACGGGATGACTGGTGGTAGGGGATACTAGCCTGAAATCTCCACAGTCCTTCTCTGTAGCCCTTCATCTGTGGAAATCAAATGATTATCAGTATTAACATGAAAGGAGTAAAGTAAGGTCTCGGGGGTCTCACTGTGCTGTGATGATCTCATTCACAGAAGAATCTGCTCCTGGTTTCTCTTTATCTAGCATCCCCTTGTCCCGAAGCAGAGAGGAAATACTGGCCGGCCTTGTGCCGACCCATCCTCCACACTATTTCTCCACAGCAGGAAGAGAGACTCACCCTAAGTCTTCAGGGAGCTACTGGGCTGATGACAATTTGAAGTAGTTGAGGTTTAGTGGCCTGAACCATCTACAGGAATGTGAACTTCCAGGCTGCATGGTACTTTCTACATTCCTGGACCAGATTTCTCTAACATCCATCCTGCTCAGGAAATGTGAAACGGTGCAAATATTTATTTATGTATTTATTTATTTACTTACTTATTTATCTGGGTTATTCTTTCGGCCAGAGCACCTGAGCCAACATGCTTCTAAAATGAGAATACCTTGTAGCTTAATCCATTGTGGTGTCAGGGTTCCTGAGAGTGACGTTGAACTAGTTATTTTGCTTTTCTTAGTTTTCTCATTTGAAAAAGAAAAAAGTGGATCATACCCATTTTAGAGGATTGCTTCAGACACTAAAGGGATTAACATATTTTAAAATGTCTAGTTTTAGCTTTAGTCCCTGAGTATTAGTTCCTTTTGGAATTACCTGCATGAAAGCCATTAGGCATCCCTAAAATAAAAAAGCAGAGCTGGGCTCTAGTGGATCTCAGGTGAAATGTGAAATTCCCCAGCCCTCACACAGGATAAGAATTTGGATTCCACCCCGACTCCAAAATATATTCTTACCTCAAGTATCAAAACAGACTTTACCTCCGAAACAGTTCAATACGTATTTATCAAACACCACCTTTTCCTCTTCCCTCCTCTAATTTGCCTTCCTTTCTCTCTTCCTCCAGCTCTCAAATTACACTCCAAACAATTTTTTAAAAGGACAATATGCAACATATGCTTTTTTGTCATTGTTGTTTGCACTTTTGACATACCTCAAATATACCAAAACCCAGGACCTGTGGAATTAATACAGCTTGGAAACTGGGTTAGTGACTCAGAGTGAGCCTGGTAGCCAGCAACAAAAGTTGGCGGAGGACATGGAATGAGTCCCAAGAATGACAAACCTTTCATTACGCCAAAAGTTTGAAATCAGGGATCTCTCTCAAGCAATGTGGCCAATAGTTTCACTGCTGGTTTTAATTGCCTTGGAATGGAAAGTGGTATCATATTTGCAGGCCATAGAAATCTGTTTCTTCAGAGCTCTTTTGAATAAATAGCTTAGCAACAAAATCACTGGAGTTATAGTGCTATGTCTTCTTGATTTAATACTAGATCTTGGAACAAATGAAACCACCCTGGCCTTTCTCCAACATTTGTGAATCCCTCATTCTTCTACTATTTCTTCTCCTCATAACACCCTTTCCTTTCTTTTTCTCCTCAAATCATATCTCTGCAGTTGCCAACTGTGTGATCACCCTGTGATCTCCAGTAGCCCCCAAGGGGCAAATGCTCATAACAAAATGACAACTTCAATTATAATTCAATCCAAAAGTATTTGTACACAGTTTACTCTGTGGTTAGCACCAAACTCTCTGCCTTTTGTGCTACTGAAAACAGTGAACCCATATTTCCCCCAAACAATCACAGTTCCTCATGCTTCTCTCTTGTTTGGGCTGAGGTCGGGAGAGAAGTGAAAACAAAATCTGCCAGCACTGCCCTCCATCTAGCTAGCAGCACACCCCACCACACATGGAGATGGCAGCCAAGTCTGTATTCCCTCTGAGTTTCTCCTCCAAGAAGCTCCTCACTCACCCAACTCTTCCATTGTCACACACCAAAGATGCGCTGGTCCCACAGGTTGTGAGGAACTGCTTTGGCATGTGCTGAAGACGAGGACCACAAAGGAACTGAATGAGACAGCATGAAGCAGCTTCTATCACCCTTTTTGGTTCCTGTATTTGCTTAGCACTTCCTCTCTTTTGATTTGGTGAGGTGTTTTTTTTTTTCTTTTTTATAGGTCAGAGTTTTAAAAATGGGGCTGACATAGAAAGACTGGTACTAAAATTGGAGTTCTGGTGGTGCATTGACCAGGGTGATTAAGATTCAAAATTAATTTTGAAAAATTTGAGCACTGACTACATGCCAAAATTTATCTTGAATTCATGGAAATGGCAGACTGGCATTTATATTTTCTCCCAATGTGGGTATCCCACTGCGACCGTACATCAGAGAACCTTTTTTCATTTTTTTGAAGTTGAGGGATCATGGACGCATAACCTCCTTCATAAGATTTCCATCAGAGTTAACTAGCACCTAATTCATTTTGCTGTCTTTATGTACTTAATTATTCAGAAATTATGTTTACCTGATTTCCTGAATAGACTGCAATCCATTAAATGTGGCAGAGGCATATTCACATTTGGATTCTCAGGTTCTGGTTTATTTCAGTGGTCCAAAATGCCAATAACTATAGGGGTCATAAAGAATGAAACTGGAAGATTTAAGACACGAGGTGCTAAGCTGCAGACATCCCAATTAAGCATAATTCCTGCCTACTTACATTGTTTTATAGCAGTTTTCTGAAAGGTGGTGCTGAGGTTAACTTTCACCTTTTTTAAAACTGATTTTATTCATCTTGAATGAAATATAACATTTACAAAAGGCCTATGGGAAGGCGGTATGTAAAGAACTATAGTTATGGCCCTGTGAAATAGATATCATCCCCATTTTTTTTTTTTTTTTTTTTTTTTTTTTTTTTTTTTTTTTTTTTTTTTTAGCTGAGCCATCCCGCCACCTGTTGGCAGCTCACGGCTGTATCATCCCCATTTTTACCAGTGGTGAAATAGATTCAAGGAACAGTAACTTGCTAAATAGAATTAATAGGTAGCTTTGCTACTACTAAATCCACATTTTGACTTCAAAGCCTATAAACTTTCCTCTACAACAGTCGTCTTTCTTTTTTTTTTTAGGTGATCTAAAGGAATCATTCTTTCTCCATTCCCTAGTGATTCTTAAGATATTATTTACTGTGGTCAAGGCATGGAAACAACCAATGTGTCCTTCGGAAAATGATTGGATAAAGAGTATGTGGTACACATACACAATGGAATACTATTCTGCCATAAAAGATGAAATACTGCCATTTGCCACAACATGGATGGATCTTGAGATTATGCTAAGCAAAAACAAGTCAGACAGAAAAAATCGAGAACCATATGACTTCACTCGTATGTGGGATATAAAACTGAAAGCAACAAAGGAGCAAGACAAAGAAAGAAAGAAAAACTCAAAGACACAGACAACAGTTTAGTGGTTACCAGAGGGTAAGGGGGGGTCAAATATACAATGATGGAAGGAGAATTGACTCTGGATGGTAAACCCACAAGGTGATATATAAATGATGCATTATACAAATGTGCACTTTGAAACCTATGTAATTTTACTAACCATTGCCACCTCAATACATTTATTTATTGTTTTACAGTCTTTTAATGGAGATTCCCATTCTGCATTACTTTAAGCAGCCATTGGATGTCAGTGCTGTTCCAAAAGAGTCTGCTCACTGCAAACATGAGGGAAAAATTCCTATCCACACTGTGCCAGTTTTTACAACTGAAATGCCATTAGCCCCATGAAAGTGCAAAAACACTCAATAGAAAATAGAAAACATTTCCCTAATCTTAGGTGGTAACTTAGCCAAGATACTGGAAGGAAAAATGCTCTTCAGTACTTGGCTTGCAAATATTGAACCCTATCTGCAGTTTAACTGAATGATTAATGTGAAATTTAGAATTGGATCCCCAGATCTTGTTTCTATCCGCCTTCTTTCGGGCATTTTACCTGAGGATGCTTTCTTTTCCAGGGTAAGTAACAGGTTCTGTGAATCACTCCTTGATTGTATGGGTGAAAGGAGGAAAGGAAAGAACGCAAGAGGCCCACTGCCATCCCCAAATGCCAACTTGTAGATAAGCAAATGGAAACTCCCGTTTAATGCTTTAGGACGATTCAGTTGCATACGCTAGTGGACGAAAGAGAAATTCTGACAAAGCTGCTAATCTGACCGCGCTTCCTGTGCAGCAGAAACATTAAAAACCGCAGAAGCAGGTGGCTTCAGAGCTGGAAGCGTGAGGAAGGGAGCGTAAGGAAGGCCTTGTTTCTCCGGGTTGGTGACTCTAGTCACAGGGACCACAGCCAACGTAAGAAGCCAACGCCAGCTCCTTGGTCTCGACAATGTCTAGCAGGCACCAACTCCACAATTCTTTCCGCAAACTTTTATTAAAAATCAAGTGTGGTGCGAATTCTGCTAGGCCCCCGAGGACCCGACGGAACCAAATTGTCCCTGACCTCCAAGGGATTACAGGTTAGTAGGTCAGACACAGGATGACGAGACGAATATTGCTGACATGAAGGCTAGCCCCAGAGGAGGTGCCATCTAACCAAAACCAAGGCAAGGGCTATTCCGTGACCACCCCATACATGCTTCGCCAACGCCAAGCAAAAAAAATAAGGAAAAATCTTCCCAGGAAACCCTGACTACCAACTGGCTCAACATTTGCCGCGGGGTCTGCGCAGGCGTCGCTCCCTAACCCGGAAACACTTCCTCCCTGGAAAAGTAAGCCCAGTGGAGATACAAAACTACTTCCCCCATCGTGCATCAGTCAGAAAAGCCCCAGCATCCTCTTTTCCTGTGGTTTCCTATCTTTTTTTCCTAAAGCATAGGATAAGTAGGACTTCATCTCCCAGGATGCCCTTGGCCAAGCTAATCATGCGCATGCGCCAAAGAGGCGGGTCCTCCTTGCCCTCACGACCCCGCCTCTGTTCTACCGCCGCCATTTTTTGAGACTTTCATCCGGCAGCCGACGGGGCTTTTTTTCTTAAAGGAGAAGCGACAGCTCAAAAATTTCCCCTTTCTCCCTGCAAGACCTGGCAGCGCTGGGGACAGAAAGGACACATACAGGAGAGTGGGGTCAGGGTGGAGGCAGAACAACGCCGAGGCTACTTCCATGGCTTAGAAGGCTAGAGCCCTTGTGTCATTAGCGACTCCTTAGGGAGGCAGGTGCGCGCGCAGCCACTCCAGGGTGCGCGCGAGGCGGGGAAAGAGGTGCGTTTTCTTCCCACCAATCTCCTCGCGAGACCTACCCCTCCCACTGCCCCTAGCGCGCGTGGAGCTCCGGAGGGTGGAAAAAGGTCACTTTAGGATTGTCGCGAGACGCAGCCGTTTAACGGTGAGAACGGGTGCGCGGGGAAGGAAACCTCGCGCGCTCCGCTGGAACCCTTCCCTGATTGGTTCAAGGGAAAACCCTGTACGTCGCTGCGTGAGAGACTGCGGAGGGCGGGGCGAGGAAACCATTCCTCCTCGCCGATTGGTCCGCTGAGCGTCTAGTCGGGGGCGCGCGCGCTCCGCCAGCAGTAGCGGCCCTTGAGTGGCAGGGGGTGGGGGGGGCGCCCTCGGAGCCGGGCGGAGGGGAGGGGGGGAGAGAGGAGCGCAGAGGAAGAGTAAGCAGGACGCTCCGGGAGGCAGGGGGGCGGGGGGAGCAGCGCCGCGGCCGCCGCCGCCTCCGCCTCCGCCGCCTGGGACGAGGGGGTGGGGGACGGACGAGCCCCGATGCCGGGGGAGACGGAAGAGCCGAGACCCCAGGAGCAGCAGGACCGGGAAGGGGGAGAGGCGGCGGCGGCCAAGGCGGCTCCAGAGGAGCCCCAACAGCAGCCCCCTGAGGCGGCGGCGGCGGCGGCGCCCGCGGGGACCACTAGCAGCCGCGTGCTGAGGGGAGGTCGGGACCGGGGCCGGGCCGCTGCAGCGGCCGCCGCCGCCGCTGCCGCTGTGTCCCGCCGGAGGAAGGCCGAGTATCCCCGCCGGCGGAGGAGCAGCCCCAGCGCCAGGCCTTCGGACGCCCCCGGGCAGCAGTCTCAGGCCGCGAAGCCCCCGTCTCCAGCTCAGGGCAAGAAGAGTCCGCGACTCCTGTGAGTAACGCAGTCTTTCAGGCGGTGGGAGAGACCCCCCTCGGTCCGCACGCCACCCTCTCGGCTCCCGTAGCGCCCACTCCACGTGACATCCTGCTAGTTCTGCCCCCTGCCGGCTCGCACGCCAGATGTCACACTGCTTCCCTGCTAGCTGTCTTATCGCTCGTCTCTGGCCCTCTCCCCGTGTCCTCTGTCGAGCCACTTCCCTGCTCCGTGAAATCCTTCTTTGTGGGCTACACCTCTTGTGCTCCCTAGTGACTCATCCCTTCCCCGCCGCCGCAGCCTGGTCCCGCACTCTGGCATCTGCACTCCCTTTGTCAGCCTGCCCCTTTCCCTCTTACGGCAGCTCTCCAGTATTACATCACATCCCCATTAAGAAATCAACAGCGCAGCCTTAGCCTTCAGAAGTGCGTCCGTCCCTCCCCCCCTTTAGTTAGCTCAAGAGCCGGTCGTACTAGTTAGTACCTTTATGTAGCCGTTTTTCGCTTTACTAAATTTTCACGTCACTTTTCACTCGTTTTAGAAATCTGGTTCTTGCTAGTAGAGTAAAAACGTGCGTGGCAATCCCAGTTTTGTTAAATGCAGCTTTTCATATAACAAGTTTAGATGGGTACTAGTTTTTTTGTTTCGTTTTGTTTTTACCTAATAGCATATTTTTGTTTGTTTTCGTATACAATTTTATGTAGAAGCTTCATCCTTAAAAATTAGACTAATCTAAAAGGAATTCCTTCATTTCCTAGAGATAGTAGAGGAACCAGGAACATAAATGTTTAAAATTGTTTATTAAAATTATGTCCCCTGTATTGAAAACGCTGAAGCACACGTATTTGTAAATTCTAGAACTTAATCCCATTAGCCATTGAATTTGTTACTGAAAACATCATTTGTTAAGTGAAAAAAATTAGTAAAAGCAGGGAAAATTGAAGGTGGGGGGCAATCTGAGTTTTAAGTTCCCCCACCAACAGAGTGTGGCGAGATTCGGCTTATATCAGAACCAGTAGATTTAAAATTTGAAACACGTTTGTTCCAAAATTAAGAGTTATCATTAGACTTATTTGGATACAAATCCGTTGGACAAATTCCTTAAACAGTCCGTATCTCAGTTTCCTCATCTATAGGACATAATGTTAATCTCTACAAGATTAGTTTGTGAGAATTGGATACAGCATGTGAAGGAAGCTCTTAACACAAAGCCTGGTACATACTGGCATGATAGAAGTGTAAGTGGTGTTTTTTTCACATAAATTCTGCCAAACTGGATTTTTTTTTTCTTATTACCATACATAGGAAGGTTAATAACAATATATTTTTTAAATTCCCTTCCATTCTCACCGACCCATTTGAGAGTTAAATATACTTTGACACATTTCCCTCCCACCATTTCAACAGCTTTGCTTATAGAAATGATCTCTTAAGATAATTATACCTAGAGTAGTAGTTTTACCCACTGTCATGGTTTATTTCTTCCCCTAACTCTTGGCCAAAAAGCACTAACTGCGTCCTTTTATTTCCATAATATAAATGTTACTTACCACAGTCAAACTTGGATAAAGATGACTTAATTAAATCCCTTCAGTTTTTTCTCCGCAATATTCCTATGGGGAGGAATAGGCTTGGTGTCCCTCTCTCATCCAATATCATAAAAGATATTAGTGTTCTTTTACCTTCTTTTAGACTCAGAACTCTCTCTTGATTATGTATTTTAAATTAGGCAGTTATGATCGGATAGTTAAATTTTTCATCATCGTAATTTTTTGTTACACATTTTCAATTTATTGTATGCCCTGGAAATCAGAGGATCCCTAAAGCATTTCATTTTAGTAAAGTTTGATTGAGTAGTTACTGGGCCTGGTATTGTGCTGAGCTAGGGTTTATAAAGATACATGAGACATGGACCTCATCTCCAAGGACCTTGCAGTATAAGGGGAAGAGGCATTGATTAGTGAAGGTTTATCAAACATGTGCGTGGTTTACAGATTTTCAGAGTGATAAAATAAATTTTAAAACTAATTAAGTAGGAAGTTTAATTTGTTAATCCTTTAAGACATTTAAAGAGGTTTTGAGTATCAGTTTACTGAACCCTGGTCAAGTGTCTTCTGACCTTGACGTGTCTGTTTTCCAAATAACGTGACAATTTTTAAAACAAGGGAAGAGATTTAATCTCAGTATTAATTACTTGTTCCATTCAGGTGATGTTTTTTCATATCTCAACACTATCCCCTAAAAAATGACCAGTAATCAACTATTTAGCCTACATTTGTTTCTCTTGATTGAAGAGACAGCGAAGTGTACAGTAGCTTAAAAGGTCAATAAATACAGAGGCTTGGATTAATTGAAACCTCTTTTCCTATTAGAAGGCAAAGTAATATAGTAGAAAAAGCATTGGACTTTAGGCAGAAAGTTTCAGGTCCCAGCTTTCTACTACTCAGTGACTTTGGGCAAGTCACTTAACCTCTTTAAATCTGCTGCTTCTGTAACTGATAATTTATGATTTGTGAAATGAGCTTTATAGTTAGATGAAAATTAGGTTACAGTTTTTATAAACTTTCTTAAGCTTATAACAACTCCATTTGCACCGAAATGTTCAGATGTTAATGAGAACAGAGTTATGGGAAATAAATTTTTCAGTGAATGTACTCAAGAGAAGGGCATAAAGTTAAATACTAGAATTATTATAAATTTAAACTTACAGACTAATAGTAAGGAAAAAATAAACCAAATTTGAGGAAAAGTTATGTATCAGTACTCTCTAAGAATTAGGCTCATCATTTGCTGTCTTTTAATAAACGCTAGAGTTAAAAGATTCTTATATTTACAATTCAGATATTTATATACTCATTTACATTTAAAAAAATATTCCACAAAATTTTTTCTTACTCATAAAATAAAACATCCATACTTTCTACTAATATGGAAACAGTATAATTGTTAAATTAGGTTAAAATGCAAAAAGGCTTTTAATTCTACCATATAATAAGTATTGCTTTATCAGAATTTAAAACCTCAATAAATACTTTTTTAAACTGCTAGTTTAGCTGTTGAATAACCTAAATAACCATACTGACTAAAACTGAGTATTCTTAGAGCTACTTCTTCAGGTTCAGATGGGTTACAAATGAAAACAAATACTGCTCGATTTTCTGGTATATGAAATTCCATTTTTCGTTTATTTTCTTGGTAAAAGTAAAATGGTGGTAAACCTTTGGGTGACACTTCGCTATTTTGTAAGGAAAAGGTGAGGGTCATGGATAGTGAGACTGAACAGGCAGTAATATTCTGAATTGAAAAAACATAGGGCTCTTTGGAGAAGGCTTCAGTTGTACAAGACTAAATCCTGAGCTCTTCTTGTATGGTAATCAGTGGGGTAATATAAACATTGAACCATTCCAAAGATTTTCAGAAAGTCTATTCTGTTTCGATTTTAGCAGTTATTTCTGTACTTTTTATTTAGAGTTAAGATGATTAGCAGTTATCTTTTAATTGTTAATTGGGTCATTGGTAATATAACTTAAAGTTATAATACCAAAAATATAATTCCATATTTTTTAAAATATGGAATGGGAAAATGGAAGCTCTTTTTTCTAAAGAGAACAGAATTTGTGTTATGCTGTGGCTTCTTTATTTACTTGGATATTTTGTAACAAAAGAGTCTTCATTTGTATTAGGTTTATTGTCAGAAAACTTTGTACTGCCCAGAGATAATATTGCATGACATCTTTATGGTAAAGATCCAAGGCATGTTGATGTTTGAATTTGGGTAATGGGTATAAGGGAGGATTCGTTATACTATACTAAACAGTTAACATATAATAGAAATTTTCCCAAATTAGAAACATGGCAGTAACATTTTTTAAAATCAATATTTTATAACACATTAAACCCTTTACTGTTGATATCTTATTTGTAAAGTGCAAGTGATATTTATTTCTGAGGCCTAATCTTGTCGCCTTTTTTGAAATAGATTTTGACTTTGGGTTTAACAAATGGTAATATTAGGGTTTTCATTTAGGTTCATTACATTTTTATTATGAAAATTTTCAAATATAAAAAAGTAGATGGGTCGGCTGAGTAGTGCGTTAGTTAAGAGTTGGCTTGGGACGCCAGCTCTGAGCAGCAGGGCCCCAGTTCAGATCCCACATGAAGGGCCAGTGACGCTGCACCCTCTACAGCTGAGATGGTGAACAACAGCTCGACCTGGAGCTGGGCTGCCATGAGTCGCCGGCGTGAGCCGCGGTTGAGCGGTCATCCAGCAGCCAGCGACCGATCTGCCTTACCCGGGAAGAGCGCAATGATAATACCAACATGGACCAGTGAAGCAACGTCCTCCACTAGACTGAAGAACAAAAGGACAGCAACTTGTCTGTTCCCCTTCCTCGATTCCCCAACGCTGTTCTCCTCCCCCAATTCTCCAATAAAACAAAAATAAAAAAGTAGATAAAATAGCATAATGAAACCCCATTGTTTATCAGCTAGATTCAACAATTACTGAGATTTTGCCATACTTGGTATCTCTGTCCCTTTTACCCGGCTTTTTCTTTTGTCAAGAAGCATTTTAAGAGGAATCTCAAACATGATTTCATTTCTAGTTACTTCATTTGTGTAAAATAAGGACATTTTCTTATATAACCACTTAACAAAATTAGTAATATTTTTTTGGTATTAATATCTTTTCACAGAAATAACTACTTTTAATGATACTCTAGCTGTGTGCTGTGAGATATGATAGCTACGTGTGGCTATTTAAGTTTGCATTAATCAAAATAAAAAATTCGGGTCCTCAATTACACTAGCTATTTCAAGCACTCAGTAGCCACATGCAACTACCATATTGGACAGTGCAGATACAGAATATTTTCATCATTGCAGAAAGTTTTATTGGAAACATTGCACTAGGTGCTTTCTGCATCACTATAAATGAGCCTGAAAGAGATAAATATTTGTATTGTAAGAAAGTATGAGATTGTTCATTTAATACTTGATTCTCATTTCTTTCAGATGTGTAGAAAAAGTAACAACTGACAAAGGTAAGACTTGGTCATTCCTACGTCTCATGTACATTACGCAGAGGATTATTACTACTATTATGTATTACAATGGGGTGACAGTGGCCAACAAAACTACATAGGTTTCAAGTGCACAGTTCTATAATACATCATCTATTTATTGCAGTATGTGTTCCCCCCTCCGAGTCAGTTCTCCTTCTGTCACCATGTATTTGACATCCTTTACCCTCTTCTACCATCCCTCCTCCCCCTACACTGATTATTTTATAAAATGATAGAAACTAGAATGAACTTCCTGATAATTCAAATTGTTCCCATTTAAAAATGACTTCTATTTAATTAAGAATTATTGCAGTAAATTGAATATTTAGATAGCAGCTTTGGTTGGGCAAGTGGAACATTTTGGCATTATTCAGAAATCTAATGGAAAGCAGATTATTTGATGTCAGTTTATTGCAAATTTTTAAGCTGGTTTTTTAAAATAAAGTAACACAGAAAGGAATGATACACAATATATAAAGTATAGACAAAATCTTGATGCTGGTAGAGACTCAAATCATAATTGCATTTTGAAGAATGTGGAAAGAAAAGTGTTCTAAGAGTTCAGCCTGGTGAATAATTAAATGGGGTCGTTAGGTCATTTCTCTTTAAAGTTTTAGCAAACCAAATATGTGTATTATATGTTGTCTTCTGTTTATCTGAATTATGAAGGGAAGCTAATGTTCACTTTTTAAACATTTTTTTAAAAAGACTTACTTCTGCCTTTGCAGATTGGGTTATTAAAATTGACCCCATCGTGTTGGGCCAGTTGCTCATTCATTTTATTTTATTTTTTTCTAGCTACTGGCTGTGTTCCTTGGTTCTGAGTTTAATATATAGCATCCTTCTTAAAACTGGAACAGATATACTTTTAAGCATATTTTGTTTATTGTATCTGATCTTGGCCCAGTCTTGACAGGAACCTACTTAATAACTGAGGGGTAACTGGTTAATTTATTCATTCATTCATTCATTCATTCATTCATTCATTCATGTTTATTCTCTCTCTCTCCCTCTTTCCATGTCTCTCCCTCCCTCTCTCTCCCTCTGTCTCCCTCTGTCCCTGCCTCCCTCCTCCTCCTCTCCTCCTCCTCTCTCCCTCCCTACATACACACACACAAATACACAAAGAATGCTTTGAGAATATGTATAAGGCAAGTTTGAAACTTGGATTTTTTACTGTTTAGAAGTATAATTACGAACCAGTGATTTGAAGTGGTGGCTGTTTTGTAAAGAATTAATCAATGCTCAGGTTTTTTCTTTTTTCTTCTAAATTTTAGAATCTGAGACTAGTATTTCATAGTATACCAAGCAAAAATATTTTGTACTAAGCAAATTTTTGTGTAGGAAGTTTTGCGTGACTATTTGGTTTTGTTCTTGGTTTTGTTGCTGTTTTTACTTGGAAAATAGGGTGTGTCTGCCAAGAATGGAAGGGCTTGTATTCCTTATTCAAACATCATTTTGGAAATTTTATGATGTGTGGGGGAAATGTTGAGACAGGTGGCAATCAAGTACCAGAGCAGTTCTTATTAAAACAAAAAAACAAAGATCCTAACCTGCCTTTATCAGAGCTAAAATTACTTTGTGTGTCTAAAGAGGATGTCTAAAGAAATTATTTTGGGTTGCCTTGAGGAGAACTTGCAGAATGTGGTTGATATTTTGAACCCCTGTTGGGAGATATTAATTGCTCTTTGTGTAGATGCCTTAAACCAGAAATTGGCAGCTACTTCTTAAACAGTAGTGCGGCTGTGGAGAGATTAAAACTGCATTGTGGGTAATTCAGTCTCGAAATCAATCCCGCTGTAATCCACCAATTAAATGCTCTGGATCTAGAGCTCAGGGTTTGAATTCAAGCTCTCTCTCTTATTACAAATAATTCCATACCTGGCATCCAGTGAGCACTCAATAAAAGTTTGTAAAATTTTGAAGAAATAAATATTCTCCAATTCTCATCTCCATCTCTTCATTAGTTTACCTATTACAGTAGTTTTCAACTCTATGAACAGTACATAAAAACTATCTTACGTACATTTGTCTTCTTTACTCCAAACAACTTGAAATTATATGCTTTCCTTCAGTTAAAGATAAGAACCTTGGACATGTTTAATCAAATAAATAATATTGCACACACAAAAACAACTTGCTGTTTTTAAATTATCAAATTGCAAAATGCCATGTCATTTCAAACTGCAATAATAGTAAAGAAACATATTAGTATTATTCCTTGTTCCTGCTACATTTATTTAACGCTGATGGGTATATATATAAAACAGATGGAATGTTGCTGTGCAAAAATTGTGTTTATTCATTCAACAAATAGTTATTGAGCATCTACTATGTGTCCAGCACCACTCTAGGTACTGGGTTGTGTTAGTAATCAAATAAGTGCAAAGAAGAAATTAAAGCAGTGTAATACAGTGTTTGATGAAGTTGGGGTCGGGAGGCTACATTTCCATAAGATGGCTAGGGATGTCCTCCTTGAGAAGGTGACATTTGAGCTCAGACCAGAATATGCAATGCAGATAGATACCTGGATGAAGAGCATTCCACACAGAAGAAGCAAAGAAGAAAAAGTTTAAAACATGGGAGTTTAGTTTACCTATTGCCACAGGATTATTATCATCATTGTGGAACTTTTCAAGAGTGTTAGCAGAAATTTTGAGGGATGGAGCCTACTTCCTTTTTAACTCGGCTTTGTTTTTATTTTGTTCTCTGTTTTGAACCAATATTATCCTTACAATGATGAAGTAAAGGGATGGTTTGCCTAAATGTAATTTATTAATACCAATGGTACCTTATCCACTAATTTTAATTTCAGACCTGCAAATAAACTGCCTAAGGTAAAATATAAAAAAAGGAGACTATAATGTCCTAATATTTACAAAAGTGTGTTCCAAATGCTTCATGAAATAGTAATAAATATTAGAGTCAAATAACTGTAAGCAGTGTTTGAATCATCAATGTGAGGTTATTTATTGCAGGACTCCTCAGAGATTTTGATTTTGAGGAATATGCAGTGTAATTACCAAAATATTCAGTTACCTAACTTAATTGACCCACCCTCCTCCCCCTCTCTTTTTGTTTTTTTTTTGTTTGTTTTGTGTTAGGGATATATCAGAAAATTAGAGTTTATGGGAAACATACATTGGAATAATGAGTGTTTGAAAATTTGATTGCATTAAACTTTGGGCCTCACTTTTTATTCAGAATCATTTTACTATTTTTGTTTAGTCTCCTTGTTATGGGGTAGTAATGTTTGGAAAAGATTACCTAGACAGACATTGATGAATTCATAACAGATGTGGGAATTTACTTAGATTGTTTAGACCTTTGACTATTTGCTTTATCCATTTTATAATAAGCATAATATCTGGAATTACTAAAATATTAGATTGTTTGGATTTTTTTTTTCTCCTGGGTCACACTCTCAGTTTTTGTTTTTACTGATTTAATCTAGTTTATAGATTATGATTCTGCTCCTTTTTTAAAAAATTAGAATTTATATTAACAATTTTTGTAGTTTTTATTTCATGAGTATTTTTCTTGTGTTGCAATATGTTTGAGTATTTCTTATCATCTCATTTCCAGTATCCTTAAACAATACAATTCACTCTTGAACAACGGGGGTTTGAACTGTGAGAGTCCACTTATAAGCAGATTTTTTTCAATAAGTACAGTACTGTAAATGTATTTTATCTTCCTTATGATTTTCTTAATAACATTTTCTTGAGCTTACTTTATTGTAAGAATACAGTATATAATACATATAACATAAAATATATGTTAATGCATTATTTATTAGTAAGGATTCTGGTCAACAGTAGGCCATTAGTAGTTAAGTTTTGGGGGAGTCAAAAGTTATACATGGGTTTTTTAGTATGCAGGGATTTGATACCCCTAACTCCCACATTGTTTAAGGGTCAACTGTATGTGTTATTCTTAAATATATAGAACAAAATATATAGAATTTTTCTATATATTTTCTATATAAATATATAGAATTTTTCACACTCCAGTCAGAAAAAACCTTTTTAATTTTTATCATTTGAGTTTTTGTACAAAGGATGATGTGAGAAGTTATTCAGAACATTTCTTCACACTTCTTTCTTGAAAGATTTTGAGTCTCCTTGCTGATAACTTTGTTTCCCTTGTTAAAATAAAATCCTATAGGTTTTGAATAGAAGAGAGCTCTGGAAGGAAAGTCACTAGGTTAAAAAAAGGCACATATAATTCCAGTCTTAACCCTTAGATATATTACCAGTTTTTGGTGAAACAGCTCTCCACAAATTAAATGATATTCTTCTAAAGTTGGCTTAAATACAAGTTTTTTTAAAAACTTGCTTTCCCTGACTTCTTTTAATACTGCTGAGATTGGCTAGTGTTTCAATATGGACTTTACTAATTATTTATGGAAAACAAAGTAGAGCTAATTATAGAAATACACAGAGTAGTCTAATCAGGTTTCAGAAACTCAATTTTCTGACTATTATACTAATGCTTATGTCTCAAATGGCTGACAGTACGTTAGATAGGCATTTTATTTACCCTATTTCCTTCTAGCCCTTTATCTTAAGGCTGCAGGAACCATATTATTTCTCTCAGAGTGAGAATGATCTATTTAGACATCGTGTTCCTACTTAGGAATGCCCCATAGCCTTTAAATCATTTTTCTAGTTCAGACATCCAGAAGTAGAGACCTATCTTATTTGTGATGTATGTTGATTGTGACTAGGGTTAGAAAGCCTTATCAGCTCATTTCAGTTATGGGACATTTTATGAATCAGGTAAATGAGTCTTTCTGTCTCTTACATACAAAGAAATAACTTCATAACAACTTGCCTATTGTGATATAAGAACCATCTCTGACACCGTTGTAAGTTTTTTCTGTTACATACAGTAATTATTTTATATTGAAATCCCTTTCCCTGCCAGAACCACTTGAGAGTTGCAGCAGAATGCCCTGATAGAAGAAAACTGAAGTA